CTTTTGTTGGTCGAGATTGCATCTGAGACATCCTACCAAACCCATATGCCATTTGGGTAAACCCGACGAGAGCTTTTGTTGCAAAAAAATTCCTCGCCACATGTTGGTGCGATGGGCACGGACTACCAAACCTACCAAGAGCGGTGCAAAAATGTCGTGGAGCCCATATCGACTTGTGCAAATAACACGGCTCCATTCATTTTGAATGAATCGTGGAAATTTTCCTTCTAGCACAATCCGGATGTCTCGCAACTGTGTACTTCGTACGAGTGCCGAGGAAACTTCAGCCGTCTTCACCCTGCCCGTGAAACAGATGGCCTTTGTTCGTGCTCTTTCAAACCACCTCGTTTGAACTGACAGTACACGAGACCACAAGGAACCATGCATTCCGGGCGCTGCACGCGTCCGTGTCCGTCGCTTCCGGTCCGTTGAACAGATTGCAACTTGTAAACAAAGTCGTCTGATCACGATACCGTTTGGTGGCTTCCTGATTGCGGATTCCCCGCCTGAGAGTCCAGCCTGGTACTATTTGCCACGCGACCAAAACGTTGCAGCAGGGCCATCACCATAGTGGCTGATGTCTAATATGGCGGCGCCTCATGCTAACGATTAGGCCGAGTTCCGCTCGCGAACTAGCTTTCTCGTCAAGTGGACTCTGGTGCCGAGTTTAATGAGGCTTCGGAACAGGTTCATGAAATGATCGATCGACTGACAGCAAAGCCTGAAACAGCCGCCCGGAGCCTTTTTAGGGCTTTAGTCGAATACTAACAAGATTTTCAGCTTTTTACCGTCTGATAAACTGGCGATGATATCATTGACACATGCTAAAGCCTGCAAGCATTGACGCGGGAAGTTCGATCGAGATTGACTTGACTGCTGAACCGGAAATAGCTCCAAATCTGCTGGCGACAATTTAAGAAAAGAGATAGCTCACTGTCATCATCTAGCCAAAATGGACCCTATGGTTCGATTCCCCAGGGGCCCGTGAGACACCGCCCATCACTATACGTAAGCCTGGCCTTTTCGTTTCTGCCTGTAAGCGTGGGTGAGAAATTGAAGTCCATCGTTGGCTTCGCTAACTCTCGCACGAGCCTTATCCAGCATCAAAGACATCGACAGTTGGCGCCTTTCTCAAATGTTGAGCCCCTGAATATAGTCTCCCTCTTGGAACTACTTTTGTGGAGGCGTACCACATGGACGGAAAACCACTGAATGTTCTTCCCAATGGCGCGGTGCCAGACCCGTGACACGTGGATTCGAAAGTTTATTCACGAGGCCTGGGACCAAATTGAGCTGCCAGCTCTCAGTTTGACTACGTATTTGGATAGATGATCGAGGTTGTGGCCCCCATTCATTACCTACTTAGTCTGAACTCTCCTTAGACGGACAGCTGTGCAAGGATCTACGGCCTGGAAATGGCAACCCCGGAGATTACCGGCACCAAAATAACCAATCCGGTAAACTCAAATTCAGCCCTCTTTTATAGATGATTGTTTTTGTTTCTGGAATAACTAAACATCACTAAAGGAAATCCTCGGTAGTTTGTGTACCCCAAGACTTGGTAGATTCTTAGAAATGAGCTTTGGTGTAGGGTAAGGCTGATTGCTTTGGAAGCACTCCAAAGTATTGACGTGTACTTCTGGGGCTTGACAAGAGGTCGGATTGAAGAAAGGGGGTTTTTAATGCTTTGGAAGGGAAATGGTCTTGGTTGCCTTTATTGTGTCTTTCTGGCACTCAACGTGGTTTTGTTCACCCACGCATCAAGTTGTTAAGTTGCTCAAGGGAGCTATATACATTGGCTGCAATACTTTTGTCCCGCTGACGAAGAAAATACTTTGGACATGTTCATTAAAGGATGTGACGTGTAATGTTTGGAGTAATAAGAAAGGATAGTCACAATCTATGATAAATGAAGTCGTTAACGCTCGGGAATTCAAGACCCGTTACACTGATGGTCAACTCTTCATGCCGACATAGGGGAAGTGTACCAACAAAAAGACAATAGACTCTTGATAGATGTACACGTTCATTTTGATCTTGAATAGACATGAGTGAGCTACTCAATGGAAGTTATTTGGCGCAGATACTAGAGGGGATATTGATGTCACTTATAGAAAGCAGCGAGAGACAAGATATCGGTCTCATTTAGATGAGGAATTGTCACGGAAGAACACGAAGTAACACTTGTATATCGTTCCCTGCTGAGTCCTTAACAAATGCGTTATATAGCCCAAGCTTGCTCTTCCCTCTCTTTTTTCTCTTTTGCATGTCTAGACCTGTAAGTCTTTTGCATAGTGAGCAAATAATCTTTGATCAGTGCACAACTCCTCCATCGAGATATCCAAATATACGTGTTTGAGAGGCTACTGCATAGAGGCACGCAAGTGGACAAGAGGTGAGCTACTTGAAGGAAGGTTCGGAGAGTGATTCATCTCACTCGAGTTCAACCACGGCTCTACCGGCCTGCAGCAACCGCAACAAGACATGGTATAGCAGTCAGGGTAGGCATAAGCAACTTCGCTTCAGCTATGACTCCAGCTTTTTTCCATGTTCATGTCTGTTGAAGCTGAACTAAGCTTGTGTGTCGTGGTCTTTTTTTCACGGCATTATCTTGGCAGCAGTCGACTTCGGAGCCGCAACTTGACTCGTAGCCAATGGCTCCTCAACATGGCACGCGATTGTGAAAGGTTTAATAGACTTGCGGGCTCTTTTTTCGCTGACGACAGCTACATACCGGGCCTCTAATAGTGACCCGTGGCGTTGTCAATACGGCACCCTAGAACGACAGGTCTTTCATCAAGTGGTTATAATTCAGCACTGTGGATATATTCTATGAAACAATGAAGTGGGCGTACCAAAATCTGCCCAGAATATACTGCATTTGTGAAATGATCATGGTAGATGGCGCAAAAGTGAGGCTGATTTCCCTCTTTTGCAGCCCGCATAAATCGAGCGGTATGTCGGATTCGCGACACTTGAGGGTGTCATCTACTACTAAACATCCGTGGCCCTAGGACTTTCTTCGCGAATTGAACTTTAAACAGAGAGTGAAAATGTCGCAAGACATAGAAGCTGACCACGTTGGACTCAACTGCCTTTCAACTAAACGCTCTCGCAGAGTCTATTTTAGACGTTGCTCCTAGCTTGGTAAGAGTGTGATTGCTTCTGAACCAACGATGTGTAGGTTAATGATACACTGTTCTTTTTGGACAAAGTTGACCACAAATCGTTCATAAACAATAGTGATACATGAACTCGGCAAAATTCTCAAGCCAAAGCTGTGATGTGCACTCTGTTGCCACCCTTGCCATATTCGCTGTTGGTTCGAGGCTGCCAACCATACCGACAAAAGCGCTGCAGACAAGCAGCGTACAGCAACTGAATGTGAGGAGTGACAAGCATGCGGCTAGACCGAGTTGTAAAATAGCTTCAAATGTGAAAAGAGGAGGCATCGCTCGGCTGAAACGACGAAGAAGAAGAACAACTATAACGGCAGCAATTGGCTCTCGCTTCTATCATTGACCCGAGAATTCAACTACTATGTTTAGCACGAAACGTGGGTATCAGACGGGAGATGACCATCTCCACGGGAGATAGACACTGCCGGGCAAGGCACACAATCATAAGTGGCCAAGCCAACTTGCCACAGACGGGCTTGCCAGGCCAGCAGCGTGAGGCTCGCTCTCCCCGTGCTGTGTTAAAACGTCGCTGCCACCAAGCCTTCCCCGGAAGAGCCAATCATCAGGTTGATAGGGGCTCCGGATGAGCAACATCCGGGGAAAGCCTCTTTTATGACAAACGCCACTGCCGGAAGGACCGATTTCCAGTGATGTAATTGCGTCTTGCTCCCTGGCATCGTGGCTGTGAGAGCTCAAACCACGAGAATGCCGACCTGCTCAAGTTGCTCGTCTTTTTTTTCGGCGTATTATTACAGCGAAACAAGATGGCATTGAAGATGGCCAGCCAAGGCCAAATTTGTTGCTAAATTTACTACAACTGGCAGTTTTGTCATGCCGCATCGGAGCAACTCTTGATACAGAAATTGCGAAAAGGCTGCATGAATTCGTCCGTCTCGTAATTGAAGCCAAGGAGTAGAAAGGCAAATGTCCCTGGAAGAGATTTTGAGCCTACTTATGCCCAGTTTCTGTCCTGGTGAAGAATCTTGCCGAATTCACAGCACCTGTGGCCTGCATGATAACGTGTGCCTGGTCGACGACGCCATAATCGGTGTTCAACGCCCCGGCACCCTCCCATAGAGCCAGGCACAGCTTCTGCTTGTAGACAAACATTTGGATAGGGCCAAATAGAGAAGACTCCATAGAACATGGAATGGACGGGCTTCATCGATCTCCAGCATGCGCCAAGCCCACGGGTGTATTTGGAGGCTGATGACACCTTTGGGATGGCAACTAAAAGCGAACCACCAACTTGTGAGGATTAGTCCAAATGGTTGTACGCCATATAATTTATCCAATTGAATGAAAGACAATAAAAGATGTCTCGCTTTACTGGTTGGCATCAACGCCACCAGGATGGCTTCGTGGTACTCCGTACAGCCCCAGGAAGGGTAGTCGGACGTTGACGCCACAAAACGGCGCTCAGGAGCCAATGTCTTTCATCAGAGGCTGACAGCCATTTTATTACCAGAGGCTATTCTAGCCAGCGAGAGCCGGTAGTGGTGTGTGCGGCATATAGCTCTTTCATAGCTGGTTTCCCCCCCATATCGTGTTTCCCGAGGGGCGGCCTGCTGGGCCCTTTGGCTCGGGGCATGTACGGCCGACACCGTTTCGTGACATGACAGAGCTTCAATTATGAGGGCTTTGGTGGGCTTTGATGAGCTTCAATATGATGGATTGCCGACTATAAATGAAGGTCGATTCCCAGCGTCAAATGATCAACTCAACAGCCATCACAACAAGACAAACACAGCAAGTCAACCACTTGTATACACAATCAATTCATACACGAGTTTTACTACAACCATTACAACACTACTCAACATGATGCTCAACTCCGCCATCGTCGCCTTTGCTCTCAGCGTTGCTGTCAGCGCCCTCCCCCAGGCATACCCCAACAAGTGCGGCGACCAAGTTTGCCCTGCCGACAAGGCCAAATGCTGCGAAGTCATTGTCAATGGCGTAGCCGAGCTCGGCTGCTTTGCCGAATGCCCACCGGCTCAAGCCCTCCAGCGCCGCCAGACGTATCCGAACAAGTGCGGCGACCAAGTCTGCCCTGCCGACAAGGCCAAGTGCTGCGAAGTCATTGTCAACGGAGTTGCTGAGATTGGCTGCTTCGCCGAATGCCCGCCTGTCCAAGCCCTTCAGCGCCGCCAGACGTACCCCAATAAGTGCGGCGACCAGGTCTGCCCTGCCGACAAGTCCAAGTGCTGCGAAGTCATTGTCAACGGAGTTGCTGAGATTGGCTGCTTCGCCGAATGCCCGCCCGTCCAGGCTCTCGCACAACCCCAGCGCCGCGACCAGCCCTCGACCACCACGTCCGCCTCTCCGTCTGCTCCCACCTTTGGCCCCAAGTGCGGCGATTCCTTCTTCTGCCCCGTCGGCAAGGTCTGCTGCCCCAACGCTCTCTACCACTGCGCCGATCCCGACAAGGTCAGCCAGCAGTGCCCCCAGTAAATGGCACCCATGAGCAGGCGCCTGCTGAAAGACTGAGCGTGAAGAATGACTCAATGAGGCGACCGAGTGTTTTCGCGATTTCTCTTTGTTTTGCTTGGTTGGCATTTAGATTTTAGACCTCGAAAGACATGGTTATAGTTATATAGATTAGACTTGTTTTCCTTGAGAGCACATCCACATCCATACACTTTATAGAATGACCTTTGTTAATAGATTGGCTATGCCCTTTCACTTGCCTTTGCCCTTGATTGTCTCATTTAAAGACCGCTGCTATGTGACTGATTGACAAAGAGTTGGCGGGAGACTTGTAAGGAAATGAAAAAAAAAAAAGCCAATCTTAGCAACAGGATGAGGTTACTTGGATTGGCAGTCTCGAAGAGCTGAACAACACATCTCGTCGCAGGTCCATCGAGCTCCGCGACTGACAGCGGAGCGGAAGCGGAGCGGAGATCAAGTCGGTGGAGTGCCGGCGCTAGGCTGGTTTTGGATCTGGTTTCTCCCAGCCCTCGATGTTTCAAAACTCGATGCCATCTGCATGTCCTCGCGTGTCTCCCTTCACGACCGGACTTCTCCAGGTTTCATAGGCCTCCACTCCGTACGACACCAGCCAACGTCCACGACAAGTAACCGCCATGGCGACGGCTGCAGTGTTCGGGTCCACGGGCGCCGTGGGCTCTCAAATCCTCGCCGCGCTCCTGGCTACAGACACGTTCTCATCCGTCAAGACGATTTCCAGACGAGCCCCCGGCGCGCAATCATCCAAGCTCCAGGCGCTCGAGGAAGCAGACACCTCGAAATGGGGCGGCATGATTGCTTCCCTTTCCCCCAAGCCGGCCGTCGTCTTCAACGCCGTCGGCACCACGAGAGCCGCTGCGGGCGGCATCCAGAATCAGTGGAAGATTGACCACGACCTGTGCATCGAGAATGCCAAAGCAGCCAAGGAGGCGGGCGTGAAGACGTACGTGTTCATCTCGAGCGCCGGCACCCGGGGTTTTGCCTCGAGCTACGTGCCGTACTCCAAGATGAAGATTGGCGTCGAGGATGCCATCAAGGAGCTTGACTTTGAACACGCCATCATCCTGAGGCCCGGAATGATTATCGGCAGAGAAAAGGCCAAGGCACCGGTGTTTGAAAGCATTGTCGGAAACCTGAATAAGCTGGGACAGTGGGCGCAGGACTGGATTGGTATGTGTTGGATATGCGAGTGCGAGTGCTTTGCCGGGCTTCGGTGCTAACAAAGGCTTTGTAGGTCAAGATCAAGCCGTCATTGGGAGGGCGGCGGTTTCTGCAGCAGCAGCAGCAAATGATGGAAAAGCACCGTCCAAGTATTGGGTTGTTGAACAGGCTGACATTGTTAGGCTGGGCCGAGACCAGTGGAAGCAATAGTGTGTCCCGGGTGCAGGATGCGGTTGAAAATACCTGTAGTAATAGTTACACGATGGCGAGGTGTTGCGCGAATCCCTCATACCTTGACTGCGGAGCCAAAGCCTTGGAAGCTTCGCCGTGGCATTTGTTTTGGCTCTGTTGCCCCAATGCTGGCCGTTCCGGCTTCGGTTGTTGTGTACTTGAGTAGTACTGATGCAATGTCGTTATGCTGGCTACTATCATCTTAGTGACCTTGACTGGCCGCGAATAAAGCAGACGTTGTAGAAGAGCGGGTGTTTATGTGCTATGATAGCGACCGCAAGTTGCATGGGTGACTTGAGCACGCCAATGGTCCTTTCGGCCGTACTCATGGTTAAAAGGCCGTGGCACCAGAGACTATCTCTCAGAACTCCAGGTTGCCTTGCGCATCACTTTTCTTGCGAGGGAGCGAGAATGGGGTTGAGATATAGCGGCATTCAAGCAAGCGTGACTTGCATAGTGTTATGCGTTATACATTGCGGCACAAGTCAACCAGCTTTGTGTGTTTGTGCAACCGCCATGTATACAATGTGCACTGTACTCCACTGATAGGCAGGTGCAGCTGGGCTTCGGCCGTCGGTGTGACCCGACGATTCGGGCAACGCCGCACATGTCTGGTCCAAGTTCGTGTCGGCCCGACCAGACGCTCGGTGGACAATTTATTTTATCGGCCTTTCCAAATAACTTCATTCTCAAGTCTCTCATCTCCATCCCGCTTCTCTATCGAAAGATACCCGATTTCATCATCCAGGGCCAGCCCTGCCGATATCCCCGGGACTTAATACCTCCGCATATCACCACATACACCAAGGATTCCCCGCCATCCGCCATGGGCGACAACAATCATGTCGGAACTTACTTTGCTCCAGCAGGCGGACTGCCGCCCCAGACACAGCTTCTCACTGACCGCGCCATGTTTACTGAGGCATATGCCGTGATCCCTAAGGGCACATTCAGTGACATCGTCACGAGCTTCCTGCCCTTCTGGGACAAGACGAGACTGTGGGTGATTGCCCGTCCGCTGTCGGGCTTTGCGGAAACATTTTCACAATACATCATGGAGGTTCAGCCGGGCGGGGGCAGCGACCGCCCCGAACTAGATGACGGCGCAGAAGGCGTGCTGTTCGTCGTCCAAGGCAATGTGACCATCACCATGGAAAACGGGACACATTTGCTTACCGAAGGCGGCTATGCCTATCTGCCGCCGAAAAGCAGCTGGACCCTGCGCAACACAGCCGAGAAAACCGCCCGTTTCCACTGGATACGCAAAGCCTATGAATATGTCGACGGGCTTGGTACGCCCGAGCCTCTCTTTCTCAACGAAAAGGACATTGCACCCTTAGCAATGCCAGGGACCAACGGTGCTTGGGCAACGACACGATTTGTCGATCCCAGCGATCTGCGCCATGACATGCATGTCAACGTTGTCACTTTTGAGCCCGGCGGTGTCATCCCATTCGCAGAAACCCACGTCATGGAACACGGACTTTACGTACTGGAAGGCAAAGCCGTCTACCGCCTGAATCAGGACTGGGTCGAGGTGGAGGCTGGCGACTTCATGTGGCTGCGCGCCTTTTGCCCGCAGGCGTGCTACGCGGGCGGCCCTGGCAAGTTCCGTTACCTGCTTTACAAGGATGTGAACCGGCACATGAAGCTCTCGCGATAGGGAGCGTCAGGATTGGTCTACGCATCATGATATAGAAGCATAATAAAGCCCGCTTTTCACTTGAAGTGTTGATAGAATGTTGCAGCCCGGAGATACGGGGAAGCCATGCAGTGAATCAAGTCTGAAAGAGGCTCAGCTAAGAAGATTGAGGGCTACCTCAAACTCGACAGTCCAAGTCAGAGCCTCAAAAATGCCTGTGCTGAGTGACTCGGACATCTGGATTGAGGATATCATGTCGACTAACTATACCGGGAGGCGATAGCGTTTAACCAGAGGAGGTACCTGGCCATCGCGTGCCAAAATATAATACACTAATGTACATTAGTGTATACTCACATATAGATAAAATGTTCTTCCACAGGCCGTCCATCCATTGTTTCTACCCGTTTGTACAGCTGAACATCCAGATCCGTGACATCGTTCTTGAAGGAACGAGTCAACATGTCCCTATTTGCCTGACATGACTATCGAATGAGTCGGCCTAGGCAGCCTGGTAGATCATTCCTTGCGTCAAGTGTCGCTGTATCCATATTGTAGGTCATGGACATAGTGTTTGGGAGGAGGTAGAGGCCTCCTGTACCAAAGGATCCGCGTGGATTTTCATATCCGCGTCCGACATGTTTGCCTCGACAGCCTGGCTAAAGTTGTACGTGTTTTGGGGGCTCGTAGCGATACCCGCGGCTAGATTTAAGACAGCGTGACTGCGGCGACGGTAAAAGGGCGTTTCGTCTTCGAATAGAAACATACTGGCGGAAGGGAACAGTTCAAATTACTCCCAGTTGTGTTGGAGCAATCTTTTGTTTGGGAGTCAACGGGTGGGCCGATGATGAAGACGGCTGAAGTCAGAGGGCTTGTTCAAAGTAGGACCCTGAGATGGACTTTTGCAGGATCGAACAGTACAGCAGTGCCATCAGCCAAACAGACTACATCAGGTGGTTGATCGAACCAGGTCTGCTTCGCCCTTTGTACTGTGGTTTCACTTGCCTAAACCAACTACTATGCGTCTTGAAAGAACCTAGGAAGCATGTTGACATTGCTGGTTCCGCCCAACTCCCGATGTGGTGACTGACCAGGAGGATAATCTCTACCAATTGGATGGCATTCCGTTCTCCAAGGGTTGGCAAGATGAATGAAGACGTGTGATTAGGCTGTGTGATTTGCGGTGACGATACCTGATAGCCAACACGGATCCTTTCCTTTCCAGCTTACTCTGTACATTCGGTCAAACATGTGGGTGACAGAACGGAAACGGTCCCTGAGACAGGGTGCTGCATTATTGAAGACCAAGGAGTCAGTTTGTTGAAATGCCAGGTCACATCTCTTCCCTCTTGAACGTAGTAAATGCGGCGAGGCGAACGTTGCAAAAAAGGACCGATTTTAGGGACCGAAACACAGTATGGCCTTGACTAGGACTTGAATCTGCTCCGTCGTCAGCGGAGTACTCTTCTCAGGACAAGTTATTATCTTGCTGAGTAAGGCTGCGACAAGGAGCAATCCGATGGAATGACTCGGCCCGTCGGCTACGACATTAATGCAAAGTACCGTCACGTTTTGCTGTACGTCTTACCGTACAACAGCCACGCCGCTTACACCACTCCATCCGGGAGTCGTTTGGTAAAACTTTGACACAATAGCCATCTGAATGATACAGCTTCACTTCTATCAGGCATTTACAGTGACCTCGGTCCAGACTCCCGGCGGCTCAGCAAATCCTCGCGCCGGAAGAAAAGACGGTGTATGACTGCAGCTCGGGAAGCGTGTGCTTGTGCAGGCCAGCACATCCAAAGAGGTGCGCGACGAGGTAAATTCCAGCTCGCTCGCGAAGGCCATCGTTTCCTGGCAGGCACTCTGGATGATGATCCAAGTCTGCGGCCGCGCCGGCTTGCCCATACCATTGCTCGAATACATACCGTTCGGCACACGTTTTGCGCAATAGCCATGTATATAATGTGATGGAACAAGCCGGTCGAAGTCGAAGTTCCTACCGTTGTTAAGCTGAAGAAAGTGGAACGCATTACAAGGGCGTATGGCCGACTCCGGCGAGCATGGAAAAGTAACTGGAAGCAAGGCGTGATTTCGTCTCTTGTTGGGCTCGTCTACGGCGGCGGTCACCTCACGTCCTTGAATAACGTCTTCCCCGGCCACGCCGAGAAATTGCTTTGGCAAATTGCTGCTGCCATTACAGCCGTCGCATGCTCCATGTTTGCCCTTTCGTTGCGGCTGATCGCGGGCCCTCGCAGGTTCTACGCCTATGTCTCTGCCCTGTGTACAGTTCCATGCGTTCTAGCGAGGCTATACTTGCTCGTCGAGTCGTTTGCGTCTCTTCCTCGACTCCCTGCTAGATCTTATGAGGTTACCCAGTGGTCAAACCTGCGGTCGCATGCCTTGTGATGTGAAGATGGGGATTGATCGCCCAAGCTATGGGCTTGTCGGTTGAAGAAGTTGAGGATATTGTTTGTATTGCTTCTGCTGCTGCAACTCCTGACATTGTACTTGTGAGAATTGCAGGCTGCTCATCAGGGCGCGAGATGGTGGCAATGAGAGCCTCCCCCCAGCTTGGTACCGTCGGCGATGCAATTTTTGCGGTGTTCATCTAATTAAGGACGTATACGATATATTTGGTGGCTATAGCACTAATGGACTGAGTGCTCTGGAAGTATCGACTCTAGTACGACGCTATCGCAAGGATAATTGCATGACACTTACATGGGCAGGTATGGAGTATTATAACCGTAGGAGAATCATCTAACATGATTCGCTCCGGCAGATCGTGTTGCTCCAGCTGATCGATATATGAGTTTGGATCGGGCTGTCTCTACCTCTTTCTTCGCTTTCTTCCTGACTATAGGTCCACAACACCCCTATCAAGACAGAGAGCCCTAAGAAATTACCCTGTCTTACACTACTACAAGTGTAATTAGAATACTAGATTCGGAGTTTGTAAATGAAATAAGCAAGGACAAAGGGGATGCACTGACCCGTCTAGCATTTAGTTTCAGTATATTGGTGCTCCTGTAGAACTGGGTTGTTGTGGGTGCATGACAGGATATCTTACCCCCCTTCTATACAAAGGCCTCTAGATAGAGGAGCTAAAGCATATAGACAACCACAGCTGTAGTTAGTATCTCGAGGTCTATTCTATTAGTCATAGCGCCAAAAGTCTAGTATAATCTCTACAAGACGATCGACCATGATTCTGCATAGAACTGTCCGAAAGTTGCTGAGGGCTCAGCTAGGTACAGTAACTGCTGCAATAGTTGTGATGATTATATGGCCCATGGAATCTCAGCTTTTGGATGATTCTACCCCTTGCAGCTCACGGATCCAACGTTCAAGTGGTGACGGAGTACTTAAGTATCGCAATCTTGGTCCTTTGGTCAGCTTGAAAAGCTCCTTGGCGTTCTCACGAGCGACCTTTTTATATCCGTCTGAACCACCCAGAGCTTGATTCAATGCATTCTCGTCGCCGTCAAACCATCCAAAACTATTTCCGATAGTCTCTTAGAGCATCTACGCTGAAAATGATCCTGTCAGGCACCAAATAATCGGCGACGCACCTGACAGTTGGCGTAGAAAAGTGCCCCGTCGTCGTCACCCAGATGTTATTCTTGAAGTAATGAAGCAAATCCTTCTTGCTCATCGTATCACCTCGTTCAGACGCCAGTGGACGCTCGACATCCTCAATCCAGTGACTGGTGCGCCAAAAATCAAAAGTTATGTGCTCTCCGAGATGGCCAACTACTACCTTGAGCTTAGGGAATCGATCAAATGCCCCATTGGTGACGAGTCCTAGGAGATGGAGAGAAACCTCATTCACAAAACTTAATCATGGCCCGACAAGGTACTTCCGCTAGGCGTACGTCTGCTTGTAGAAATTCCCGGCGGGAGCAGCAGGTTAAAGTTAGACGGGGCAATATCGAGCTCGACACATTTTCTCTAAAACACATCGTATGTAGTTTGATCATAAAAGAGTTATGTTTTCCCATCATGTCCCGCGTGCTGATAATTGCTCAAGAGGGCACCGTGGAGCCCGTTTTGACGAACACGACGCTCTAACTCTTCAGCCGCCTGTGCGTGATCGTGTATTGTCACTCGGTTAGACGAGGGCTACAATCACGGGACCTAGGGAAGAAGGCTCTCACAGATTTCTTTATTTATAGAGAGCTTTGGTGCCTTAAGGACTTGGAAGAACAAGGACCTTAAATACTGTTATTAGATGAATAGAGCTGTTTCCCCAAGCCCTCATAGAGCCCTTGTCATACCTGGTGTCACGATTTGATATAGGAATGGCTCATTTGTTCTCTTTATTATAATAAAAGGCACTAAATGATGTTTATAATAAACTTGGATGAAATACTAAAATGGTTGTTTTTTTATAATCTCAGTGCTAGGTTTGCTAATGAGGCGAGACAGTCGCACTCCCGTCGTCATTGCCCCCCCTAACACGATCTACAAGCCATATTAGACCGCAATCCCTCGTATATAAGTGTCTCCTTCTCGTATTCGCTCGACAACGAGAAAGCTCACTTGGGCAACCAGGAGCATGGCAGGCTAACCATGAAAGACGCATTATGTGAAAAAACAAATGTTTACAAAGTATAAGTGGCACTTGATTGGCTCAGCAGGGTCGCGAGTTTATTCTTCGTTGACATCAAACGCTTCTACTAGACACCTCCTCGAGCCAGCTGGACGACGACACCCACTTCCTGCTCAGCAGTTCAACAAGGGGTCTAAATTCGTTCTTTAAGATCATGATTTCGATTCGGTTGACGACTGTTATAGTATCCCCCTGGTAGTCATGCCACGAGGCGACCACATAAAGGATATTTTTTCCCAGCTTGGCCGAAAGGTCGATCTTACAGCACTCTTCATTCTCGTACAAAAAGGACATGCCGATTTTTGTACTTTCCGACGAGTTGGACTTGAGAAATAACTTTAAAAGACGGAGAAAACTGGAGAGGATGAATAGTAGTACAAGGGGGCTCATGGCTGACGAAGACATGTCAACCGCTGTCGGATGCTGCAGGATGTGCAAGTGACGGAAGATGTGGAGAATACTCTCCTCTGAAGATACTTGCAGTCGGGTTGCAATGCTTCAGATTGATTGAGTGCATGTTGGTTGGGCCAAGTCAAGTTACTACTGATGTTTTATTACAGCAAAGGCGGTACCGTCATGCTTGAGCTCACTGCCCTTCTTCGCTACATGGCTCGTGGAAATATACACCCATGACCGCGATTTCTTTTCCATGGGCACCTTTCTCAGCGCCCGCGCTCCTTCAGAACCCCTCTCCGATACAGATTAGACCAGACAGCTTGATACGGAGACAATGCCCAGCTGGGATTCGGCCACCCCAACGGAGGTCCGACGTCGACATCGCCCATCAAAGCTCCAGGGGCAGTGTAAAACGATTGCCATATGGACCTATTAATACTTGGATTGTATGCAAAACTCTCTGTAGCCCGTACAAGACGTGGGGGTTTGTCATTTACCGGGGTACTTACGGTGACGATGCTGCGTGGAGCGATCTAGAAGCAGAGCTAAAGGCCGACGTGGCTTCCTCGCTTGGATATGCGAGTAGAGAGGCTCTTGTCATGTCATGAGCTAGGTATTGTCTAAGACAATGATGCTCCCAGTAACGTCTCACCATAAAGCGGCGACAAATTCCGAAAATGGTGTAATGAGCACGACCGAACGTGACGTCCTACGGGTAGGGTTAGGGTTACAATACCCAATCATTCAAGGTGTCTGCTCTTTCGACATGGCTAGTGTCCGTCTATGGGCTGTGCCTCGGTTGCTCGGTGGTTGGGGCGGCATTCCTTCCAATCCTGCTCATCCTTGCAGATCAGCCGTCACATCCATGTGGTTGAGTTGGTTGCGGCATGATGCTATCACAACAGCCCGTTCTGGGTCGAGCTGGCCTCGCCGTTGTCGCGTCGCCGGGCTTCCCATTGGACAGTGGGTGCATCATTGTGTCGCAGTTGCAATGTTTCGGTTTCTCGTCAAATGCCTTTTTCGTCAATTGGCTAACCGAGGGAGCCACCAACAAGCTTTTTTTTAGTCTTGACGTCAAGCCAAGGAGACTGGAATGTCGCTCAACATGTAGTCTGTGCGGCCATGCCACCAACATTAAATGTAGATCTATGCCACCGACGGCCATTGCTTGCATACCAGACCCTTTTTGTAAAAGGTCATCATCTGCCGTACAACATGAAGTGTAGCCTACTCTTGCTGCTGGCGCCGCTCAAAGCCTGGACTCGACAATGTGTCTGCGGATATGCAAATCAAGATGCGTGCGCTTCTGCTCTGGCGGAGCGGGCAGACACGTATACAGGCGTCGCTTCCAAGGTACAACCAGGTAGCACATGTAAGCGCTCAGAATCTGCTGCTGCTGCTGCTGCTGCCCTCCCGAATGGGAAGCAGACCGGGCCGCAGGAATATCCATTCATAGCCGCGGTGGTATACAAACCTGGGCATCAGAGAATCCTTTGTGCTGGTGCTATTATCGACGAGCATCACATACTGATTGCCGCGCATTGCGTAAACGGCCTGCAGGCAGACAGCCTTGCTGTCTATGTCGGATCAAACAGATTCAACACGACGGCAGCCAAGCTGGAGACGGTCGCGGCCATTCATACGCATCCTCAGTGGGACCCGGAACGACTAGTATACGATATCGCACTGCTTCAGTTACAGGATGCCTTGTCCTTTGATCGATATACGACAGGGCCCATTTGTGTTCTTGACCAACCGAAGAGTCTAGACAACCAAAAAGCAGCTGCGGTGGCCTGGGATTCGGCGACGGACGAAGGACAAGCTGTTTCATCGCTTTTGCAAGCAACCTTTGAGACTCATGACCTGGCATCCTGCAGTGCTCGCCCTTCCGGCGGGCCACAATTCTGTGCGTATGCGATGGAAACGGAGGATTGTCAGCAAGATTCCGGTGACCCTCTGTTATTGTTGCGGGACCAAAGTACTCAGAGATACTTTGCAATTGGGGTATCGTCCTACGGTCAAAGCTGTAGACAATTCCCAGAGGTCGTCACTGATGTCACTCAGCTCAGGCCGTGGATGCAAAGTGTCTTGCAAGCTGATGGCGGGAAGATTTGCGGGTAAGCGCAAGTACATAAGCCAGACTGCAGGCAGGCTTGGGTCTATCAGAGTCAGAATATAGTTCTTCTCAATTCGACAAATTAGTCGCGTACATTCCTCGCCACAGTTCCGAAGCGTTCCCCCAAGAGATTTGTTCCTTCATCCATGGCGACCCTCAGTTTCATGTTAAATCGGCAAGCGACCTGAGAACCTACATGAGAAGCGTCCATCGAAAATTTAACAGGTGCTGGGAAATCTGACAAACGGCTAGGAATTCGCATTCTCTACCCAATCTGCTGTATCCAGGCCTGGTCTCTGTTCCCTCTGTCTTGCGTTTTTCCAGTCTCTAGCACAAGTATTAGTCCTATTTCCGTCACAACACAACTTCCGTTGGAATTCTGGCCCCTGGTGCTCTAGACGGCTTTATCTTTCAATGCAAACATACCGCCGAACCACCCATAAGCTCGGCTGAGTCTCCTACCATGCTGACGATCCGTCAGCAACGGAATCTTGCCTCTAGGAAATCGTTCCACGCAACTTCACCGGGTGTTTTCTTGGCAGTCGGATCGAGTAATATGATGCGAAAAACTTTCAAGGCCCTTGAATCTATCAGAAATGTAGATTGAATATCCGGTCGAGTATCGCCCAGGGCTGCCGGAACCTCGGGGCTGTTCCCGGGTACAGATATGGGAGTCCCACGAGACTTGACCTTGGACTTTGCAGTCCCTCCAGCAAGCACTTCCTTCCTTGCGGACGGTGGGTCGGGACCGATGAAAGGGTTAGAAGGGGGCTTTGTGGCAACTTCAGGTCTACGCAGCGAGACCTTGTTTCCCCTGTCATTCTTTCCGGCTGCTGGTTCAACCCACTTTGGTGTACGCTGCAGTGTCCATGGCTTTGACAAAGTCGCCCCAGAGCCGTGCCTTTCAAACTTCCCGCATGAGAGCAAAGAAACTTGTCCATGTTATCCAGAAGATACCCGAATGAGTCTTGGCTGATCGAAGCTTGTCAACGTTTACCTTATTTCGTCTCCTCCCCGCAGGATAGTCAAACTTGTTGTCTGATAGATCTCCAAACGAGCCTACTTTGAGCAGCAGTCACGTGTTGGAGGTTTCTAGTTTTGGTGAAGTATTGCTGCCTAACTTTTAGTAAATTTTCCCCGCATGCTGCCAAACAATTTTCTCCCCCCTTTTCCACGCTCATCACAGCCAACACTGACATCGTTTACCTAATCGTGAAACCTCAAAACATCGACACGACAATGCCGTTGACCATTGGCTTAGAAATCAAAGGCATTGCATTACGCAGAGCGTCCTCCAATGAGCCACTCCCCACACGAGTTGAAGAGCAAATCGGTCTTGTGGCAAGGGCACTGGCTAAGGGGGGATTAAACACGCGTGTCTACTTTCCGTCGACAACTCGCACCACAGGGCCTAACTTCGAAGTTTGGAATGTCACTTAGGATGCGACATTGTCTGAAGTAACTTCTGATTCCAGTAGTTCATCTTCTGTGTTCCGGACCAGGTTTGGATTCGAAATTATTTCTCCCGTCTTTGAAGTTGTGGCTCCTGAAAGCTAGAAGCGAGAATTGGAGTGTGGCATTACTTCCCTAGGGCAAGAAATTTCCTGGAGCGCGAATCGCAGTACCGGATTTCATGTTCATGTTGGAGCTGGCCGTGGTGGACGCCAATTTTCTTTACAAGAGGTCCAGAAAATTGCAATGCTGTACTGTCGCTTTGAAGGCAAAGTTACCCCAAAGAATTTTGCTTATCATGGGTAGGAACTAATGAACTGAATAGGAGTAATTGATGCAATGCATCCTCTTCGCCGCATTGTGGATAATGACAATATCATGTCTGTCCGTAACAATGAACTTTTGAAGGACGAAGATATCACAAGCGTATACACTTCGATTAGCCAAGCCCAAGACATCATTGGTGTTTGCCGCCTTGTCAATTACTGTTCCAGTCACGACCTATATGATGGCTATGCAGACTCCAAATTTTTCAAAGTAAGTATCAACAGTGTGAACAACTAGGAGCCCAGAAGCGCTGATGGGGAAGTACACAGGTAAATTTCACGTCATTACTGAAGCATGGGACCATCGAGTTTCGTCAACACCAAGGGACAACGAAGACTGACACAATGATCCGGTGGACTGAGTTTGTATTGAAGTTCATCGAGTACGCGATTGTTTCGCCAGCTGAAAACGTTACCATGCCAGGACAAAAGAGCGAGGATTTGGTCAAGGCGCTTGAAACGGTGGGATACCATCTGACCAGTGTATAGTTTTTTGGGTCGCCCTTATTCGCCACCAGTTAACTCCATACCTTGAAATAAATCAAGCCAGGTTTCTAAACTCTCATTGATAAACACGTCCAACTCCCATGATTCTTCTGTCAGACTCTCAGCAGGGCCGTTCCAAAGATATATATCTGCTAGTATTTCTTCCCCAGAACGCTCCTTATTTTCGTCCAAAATATACGTCCTCGTAGAAACGGGCTTATATATCTCGCCCTCAAAGTCATCTAGCTTTCTTCGTTGTGACATGCTTTGAAAAGAAACAAGATACCCATCAATGTATGAGTCTTTGTGAATAGTAGCGGCTGGGTAATCGCGACCGCGTGATCTGTATCGGGCGAATCCATAGACCCTAGCGGGGCGGATCAGATTGACGATATAATCAACGTTGGATGAATCCCCAGTCAATGCCCAAGCAAGTAGCTCCTTGGCACAGAGGGTTCCGTAGACAAACAGTGGTTTCGGTTGAGTGGATGTTTCCTCTGCCATCTTGTCACGCTCTTGGGACACAGCTAGCTGCCTAAATCCTCTGAAATCGTTAGCTCCTGTATGGTATGCTTGGGCTTCTTTCTGGTTGGATTGCACTTGCTCACTCCGTGAGTTCAATGTTGCCTTCTTGTTCAGTGTTCACTGTCTGTCGAATTTGTGTTAGAATGGGTCACTTGTTACG